GGGGGGGGGGGAGTGGGCCCATTTTATTCTTTACATATTTTTAAGCCTTTTGAAAAAGTTCTTATCTTACAGTAACCCGTGCACCGTGATTGAAATGTGGTTAGTACAGAGTCAATGCTCAAATCAGATAGTGCCAGAGGGTTAGATTGCAGGCAGCCAAGCCTCCCCTGCCCTCCCCCAGCCTGCCCCACAGAGGAGCAATCCTCTGAAACCCTGTTCCCGAGTTCCTTTTCTAAATAATAGGATTTTGCCTGCTTCTCTGGGTGTGTTGAGTTTGGTCATTTTTTATGACCTTGTTTTGGGGGCTGAGTACTTATGTCTTAGAATGTCCCCAAAGCAGCACTCCCCCCTTCCTGGGCTCAGGGCCCTCCGCCTCCTGACCGGGTGCTGGCCTGGGGGTGCCGGGAGATCCAGGCGTGACCAAGTCATCTGTTGCCCTCAAGGGGCTGCCCAATAAAAATGTCTCATCTCCCCCACGCTCAGCTCCCGCCACCCACTACATCACTTGGCTCCCTCTCTTGATGACAAGCAAAACCTCCCAAAATTGAGCTAATTTAAGCTGTAAATTAGAGATGGCGTGTTCTGCATGGAAGTTATTGCTTTGAATGGTGTTGATCCTGCCTGCCTGTCATTTCTATGAGATGATGTCTGAAGATTTGAGACCTCGGGCCCTGGCTGGTGTTGCTCAGTGGTTAGAGCACCAGCTGTGCACTGAAGGATCTCGGGTTCGATTCCCGGTCAGGGCACAGGCCCGGGTTGCAGGCTCGATCCCCAGCAGGGGGCGGGCAGGAGGCAGCCAATCAATGACTTTCATCACTGATGTTTCTCTCTCTCTCCCCCCCTTCCTCTCTCTGAAATCAATAAAGACATATTTTTAAAAATCAATGGAAAAAATATCCCCAGGTGAAGATTAAGAACAACAAAAAGAGATTCGAGGTGTCAGGACAGGGCCCCCTATTTTGGGGAGCGGTAATTATTGTTTCTAAGCGATCATCTGGGTGCTCAGCTTCCCCTGGGGTTGTGCAGACAGGACTTTGGAGAGCCTGGCGCTCAGAGAGGAGCTCTTTGCACCAGAATTCGGAGCCACGCCAGCTTCATCCAGGTGTCAGGGGAGAGAGGACGTTGCAGAGGGGACCCTGTGGCTCCCCGTCATTCTTGTCACCGTCTTTTGAGTTACTGAGGTCATTTCATATTTTTTGAGTCATCCTGATGTGAAATATGTCACATAGGGAGCCTTAAATCACAGCTGTCTGAAGTTGTCACGGAAACTCCTCCTGGAAATTTGATGATCTCAACCCGAAGCACACTCCCCATCTGATTTTTTTTCTCCTCAGCGGCCCATTTGTCACCTGTAGTCTCTTTCTGTCAAGTCTGACTTCATCTCAGGTAGATGTTGTTGCTGGGTGGTGGGAGAGACTTCAGAAACCGTAATCTGGCAGGAAGATCTGCTTAATGTTGGTCTTTGGGAAGCCGCACACATTTACTCCTCAGGTGTCGCCCAGAAGGAAAATGAACATCGCCGTGGCCTCGGTACTCAGCGTGGGGCCTGGAAGTGGCAGCCTGGCTGCACCTGGGAGCTCCCTGGCTAGAAAGTCAGAATCTCAGACCCCCAGGGATTTGTGTGCCTGCTCAGCAATAGGACGGGCTGCCCTGGCCCGTGTGGCTCAGTGGTTAGAGTGTCAGCCAGTGCACGAAAGGGTCACGGGTTCGATTCCTGGTTGAGGGCACATACCTGGGTTGCAGGTTTGATCCCGGACCACGTGTGCGGGAGACAACCAGTCGATGTGTCTCTCTCACATCCATGTCTCTCTCTCTCTCTCTCTCTCTCTCTCTCTCCCCTCCTCTCCCTCTCC